CCCCCCCCCCCCCCCTCCCCCCCCCCCCCCCCCCCCCCAGTTTTGAAACACAATAAATCACCAGCAGGATGCTCTCCAACAATGATCGCAAAAGGGCTTGTTGTCTGATCCTTCTCAATCGGTCACTGACTTCCCCACCACAATAGTTTGTGCAACAAATCCCAGCTGTATCCTGAGTGTTTTGTAGCTAATAAATACAATCCAAATGGTAATTCTTTGGCTCACCAACCTCAGTGCCAAGAAATGAATAATCCATCCAAGGCTAAACAAACAGTATATTGATGGGGTGGAGGTGCAGGGTAGCTAGGTCAGAAAGACAGACATAAGGCCTGCAAATGGTACATCAAAGCTTCTTCTGTCAGAAGAGTCGGACACGTGCTATTTGTTTTTTTGTCTGCTAATCTGGCTACGTGTTAAATTATTAGTATTTCCAAGCAACACTGGAGGCATTTTAAATCCCACAAACAGCAGAATTGTTCTCCGCTCCACTAAAACTTAGTAACACTCGCCTTATTTGTCTTTGTACATTAGCGATTCAACAGTAGCATTTGGCATCTGTCGCTCTCGACAGACTTTAAAGTATGATCATCCTCATTTTACAGATGGGGAAAACAGATTCCTTGGGCTTTTTACATGAGCCCTAAGGGAGTTAGGCACCTACAATCCATTGAAATTCAACAGGTTCAACTCCCTTAGAAAACTCAAACCATTTTTCCAAGGTCTCACAGCAAACAAAGTCTCAATTTAGTGCCCTAACGACTGGATGATGGTATAGTCATGGTGGTAGTCCCTGGATACTGACCCCTGTCAGGGGTCAGGAAATCAAGATTAGCAATCTTGACCCAGGTCTGATGGGACTAGGAAGTGAAGATGATCCATTTACCAGCACATTTCTGAGTCACACCTTTATGACAAGCCATAATGAAGGGAGAGATCCTGTTTCCAACAAAAGCTGGGTAGTTCTATATGCTAGGTATAGGGCCGTCAACAGAGGGGGGCAAAGGAGGCAGTTGTCCTGGGGCCCAATGATTTAAAAGGCCCCACAGTTTCAGGCTGCCACTACTGCTACCACAGAAGTGGCGGCAGCCAGAGCCTCAGGCTCATTAAGTCACCACTGGTGCGCTGTGTGGGATAGTTCAGGTGGTGCTGAGGTCTGGCTGCTGCTAGGCCTCCCTTCCCCTTCTGGCCAAGGTCCTGCTCTTTCGGGTAGGCCTGCAGCCAAGATACAGGGCCCGGCACAGTCTCTCAGCTGCCCTGCCTGGATGAATAATGGAAACAAACATTGGCTGGAAGTTTTATGGTAAAGCGCTCGTAAAACGTGTTGAATAAGTTGGTAGCTGACTGCTATTTTACCAGCTATAATTAAAAGCAAATAATTCTTCAATTCCTGATTATTGGGAGGGGCTTAATTTGTGGAGGTGATAACATGCTGCAATGTTTAGGTTGAAAAGCTAACTTAAATAAAAGGCTTCTTTTGATCAAGATCATGTGGTAGGAGTATTCAACATAACCCAAGGGTATTTGATATTCTGTGGAATTCTCAGCTGCGTGGGTAGGATAGGTAGCTGGAGGGGAATCAAGAAAAAAACACGAGGGTGGAAGATAGCCAATAAATTCACCAGTTGTGACAGCAGGTTATAAAGATGGGTGAGCTAGTTAGGCTTGTCCAGGGTTAATGTAACTCATTTACTGTAGTTGGCACTTAGGAGTAGATAACTTACACTGCTGTTAACCTGTCAGTATTACAGCTGGAAGATTGTATCTTCATATAGATTGTATTTTCACAAGGGTAAATGGATCTGGAAAGGGACATGTTACGTTTGGCCAGGCTTTTCCTATGCTGCCTTTTACCACTTGATGTTTCCTTGAGCAAACAAAGTTAACTTGTATGATCAGTGCAAGGAAAGTCACATTTCCCTTTATGCGACATAAACCACTTTTGTCCTCCTTACATTATTGCTAGCTCAGTCTACCTATCTAATTACCTACATGGCCTGATGTCTGTAGTACTGATGGAACTGCAGAGACAAGATTCTTCTTGTGTTGTAAGGCCCAGAGTTGAGCTAGATGTTTCACAGAACATAAAAACCAACAATAATCTACTAAATATTTGAATGTGTCTGTCTGTGAGTGTGTCTGTCTGTTTGTTCAAGAACTCCTGCATGGACCACCAAATTTGGTATGCAGCTTCCTCTGATTATAACTTAAAGCAAAGTCAGGGTTTGGTTGTGCCAGGACAATGGGATGTGCCTGGAATGCAATTCTTTTTCATAACACAGACTGTGCTGTATGACCATGTGGGGGCAGCAGGGGATATATGGAAAGCAGGGACAATTATACTGTATAATGCCCACGTGAAGACATCAAGGGATCAGAGATGGGGAAAATAACTTAAAGTTTCTTACAGGCACTGTCCTATTGCAACCCGGGTCCCTGCCAGCTCTTTCAATAGCTCCCTGCTGGCTTTTGCTGCAGCTCAGCCAGCTCTTGCTGGAGCTGCGCACCAGAGCACACCCGCTTCCTTTCACCTCCAGTGGGATTAGAACAAATTCGTTCCTATCCCCAGCTCTGACACCCTCTTCCGCATTCCCTGCCCCTGCTGAAGTATCCACTCTCCAAGAGATGACTTAGAAGGGTCTGTGTAGATGACAGTGATCCCTTGAATGCTGCCCACATAATGCTTGAGAAAAGCAGAATAATATGAGGTGACAAGCCATCGTGTGGTCTAATGCTTGCCAGCAGGGAGGCATTGAGCTGTGGTCACCTGCATCCATCATTCAAGAGCACCCAGGTCTTTAATGTCGGCAGCAGTTAGTCGCAGCAGCCATCTCTCATGATGGGGAGTCTGTCTTTCATTGAAATGCTCTCTCCTCCAAATCCCTGTGTTAGTAGTGCCTCTGGGAATTGCTTCTTTATTGATTGCAGAGGGGAGCACATATTGGGCTCATAGATCATTAGTCTTATTGGTGTACTGGGGATTCAGGGAGCTTGCCTCCAGGAGGGAGGTGCTGGCATGCCAATACTACCATTGATTATTCTTAATTAACATTTAATTTAACCTCCAATTAGAGTTAAT